GAGAGCGAGGGGGGCCCAGCGGCGACAACGCGCGCCGCACCCCCTTCTGGACTGCACCTGCCACTGCAGAGAGAGAGGGGGGCCCAGCGGCGACAACGCGCGCCGCAGCCCCTTCTGATGACAGGCTCTGGGAGCGTGAGTGAGTGAGTGAGTGAGTGAGTGGAGGGAGTGAGTGAGTGAGTGGAGTGAGTGAGTGGAGTGAGTGAGTGGAGTGGGTGAGTGGAGTGAGTGAGTGAGTGAGTGGAGTGATGGAGTGAGTGAGTGAGTGAGTGAGTGAGTGAGTGAGTGAGTGAGTGGAGTGAGTGAGTGTGTGAGTGAGTGAGTGCATGAGTGAGTGAGTGAGTGAGTGAGTGAGTGAGTGGAGTGAGTGGAGTGAGTGGAGTGAGTGGAGTGGAGTGAGTGAGTGAGTGAGTGTGAGTGAGTGAGTGAGTGAGTTAGTGGACGGAGGGAAGGAGGGAGGGATGGAGGGAGGGACGGGCGGGCGGAGTCGGGCGGGATGGCAGCCAAAAAACTAGAACCCCACACAGAGATGTGGGGAAAAATCAAAGAAAATTGCAGCTACAAGCAGCTGATTTTGCAGGCGGTGCTGCAACATAGGCTATACAGGCAGTAGCCTTCAGTGGGGCAAAACCACAAACCTAACCACCGACCAGAACAAAAGCTTGCAAAAGCTATGTGCAAATGTGAAGTATACATTGTAATGCCCATCTGGCTGGTGCACCATATTCAAAAACGATGGCTTGAGCATCTTCATCACCATCCAAAGTGTGTCGCCAATGATATACGGGTTTGCCACTTCCATTTGCAGCTGCTCACCATTTGCAGGCTGTGATGACATGGCTGCACTCTACAGGACTAGTATAGACCAACACTTTGCATGTGTATCACACACTGCAAGAGCACATAGAATTGTAAATGTGCATGTGGATTATATGGTGTTCAATCATGAATTTCCAAGACAACAAAAGTATTTGAGCCTGTAAACGGTTATGACCCTGGATCCAAACTACTGAAACCCTGATTTCAAAATATCATAGTCTGTGGTTTTGAATTCAAATCACTGAATTCAAAATCAAATTCAGTGATTTTGAATTCAAATCCCTGAATTCAAAATCAAATTCTGCGATTTTGAATTCAAATCCCTGATTTCAAAATCATTTTCTGTGATTTTGAATTCAAGCCCCTGAATTCAAAATCAAATTCTGCGATTTTGAATTCAAATCCCTGAATTCAAAATCAAATTCTGCGATTTTGAATCAATTCCCTGAATTCAAAATCATTTTCTGTGAATTCAAATCATATGCTTTGAAATCGAAAACCAGCCTACACAGGCTAGAATGTATGCCTGTAGAGGCTGCCATTTTTGAGCCTATACAGGCTTCTTCACTGATCTCCAATACTTTTTTCATTCTTGAAAGTCTCTCGATGATGCACAGTCATGACAGATCTATTCTAGATCCACTTGTCATACGCCCTCCCACCATGCTGCTCAACCTGTTTGCTGAGCATCTCCATGGGCTTCCTCAGGCTATGGCGCTCTGCCAACCTTGTCAGCGCCTTCTTGCGGTACTTGATGTGTCCAGTCTTGTATGCATGGACAAGGGCGCAGGCTTTATTCATCCAACCACGAGGCACATCATTCTCAGGGTCCTGAGTTGATAGATCATAGACACATACACTTGACTTGAGAATCTAATTTTTTATTTATGTTAATGTGTATATTTTGAGCTTTGACCAAATACATACTCAATGATGAAATACATTCAAGGTACAGTGTAGTCCCTCCACCTTGACCAGTTTGAATTGCCCCATGGTGCAACTGCAAGGCATGCCATGAATCTGCGCAACACCTGGTGTTTGAGTGTGCTTGTTCTCGCCACACATTGTGATTTGAACCACCAAGCCACACACGCCAAACTTATAGCCTTTGGAATGCTGGCTCCACAAGCGCCTTCACGGGCAAAACCTTGCATCAGCTGGCAACCAAAAGGACTCATTGAGCATACACCCGCTGAATATGACTTCATGGGCAGAAGCTTTCATCAGCTGGCAACCAAAAAATATTCATTGTAGTGAGCATACATTTGCTTAAGATAAACCAGCTTCCAATGTTGAAACAACTTGTGCAAGCTATATCTTATGCGGCACACAAACACAAATTTCTTTTAGTGAAAACTTGAAAACCTTTAGCGAGCATAAAATAGATTTGCTAAAACGTTTTTTTGATATCTGTATCTTACATTACTTTTTACTAACTTCTTTAAACTTTTAAGACAATTAAACATGTTACTGTAAAAGTTAAAAAACATTAGATAACTCACTTAACCAACAATAAACTTTGAAGCAAGTATAACAGGTTATAACAAGTTATAACACCTTGTTAATGAGTTATAATATCCTTGTAGTGTATGTAGTAATAGTCTTAACAGCCAGAACTCAGTAGCAAAACCAGCAGCTTCAAAGTAGCTCAGAGCTTCAGAAGTCGGATTCAGACGCACGCGAGGAATTACGACTCTTGGCACTGTTGGCAGGCAGTGGCGTGTGTTACCGCGCGTTCCGCTATTTTGGGCATTTTTGGAATCCCCAAAATCACACGCTTTGCAAGATGCACGTGGCAAAGCGCCAGTGTGCCGGAGCCCCCATTTGGCAGGGTGATTCTGTGGAAGAAGTAACCAGGACCCACAAAGACGTCGTAGCCGATTGCTCATCCACTGTTTCCAACAGTGAGCAGAGGAGGGTGCAAGTCCAGCTTGATGGTGGATTGATCCTCTCCTCAGAGCTTTTCTCTTTTTCTGATTAGGTTGGCGCTCGAACACCATCTGAAACCCCATCATGTGCACTCCTGTCTCACCTTTTCTAACGGCCATCGCTATGGCTACTAGGCTACAAACCACTCCTACTTGAGTTGGAGGCCATTGCTACTTGGATGGAGGCCATTGCTACTAGGGTGGAGGCCATCGCAACTATGTGGAGGCCATTGCTACTATAGGGTTGAGTGGGGTGGGGAGATGAGGTAGGCCCTCGGGTCAAAGGTCCGAGGGATCTCCCGATCACGGCTCTTTGCGCCGCAGAGGCAGTCGGTCTTATTATATCCAACGTAGGTTGATGGGCGTCGCTATTCGGTGGAGGCCATCGCCAGTGAACGCGTGTCTGTTTGGCGGTCTGGGTTCTTTTTGCTTCGGCAGCGGGTCTACTTGGCTCAAAAAGCTATAGTTTGCGCGAAGCTCCGGACTGGTGCATTAAGATCATAAAATATACACAATCGGTGCAAAAGCCATTCCAGCTTTGACCCGCCCAAATATCGAAGCCCTTGCTTTGTTCACCACTGCGCGTACCCAAACATGTGCGCTCAGAGATTCTCAAACATGACCCGGCGGGCGTTTCACGGATGCCGGCGTTGTTGCAGGTGTTCGTCTTGTGTCGTTTCTGCTGTCGCAACGGCGCCGCTAGAAACATCAACTGCAATTGAGTTGCTTTCGGCGCTCCAATTGCGCATTGCAGCTGCTTGCTTTAGTTTTTGCTTTAGTTTTGAGGTGAAAACGGACGAAAGTAAGGGGTGGGGGGCTCAAGACTTTTTTATATGGACAAAGCAATCCCAATCAAGAATCTCTGTCCAATTTCAATTTACAAGTCTTCTTCTGGGAGCGATTTCTGATGTGGCCAGTATATTACTGTATTTATATGGTTTTTACAATTTGCAGAGGGTGTTTTGTCAGCTGCTCAACTAGGTGCTTCCATTTTGTTTGCCGGCGCCTAGTCGCAATTGGCAGGTCTTGATTGGAGCAGATTGGCCTGGGTGCATCGGCCTCGGAGTCGATTGCCCTGTTGTCGTGCTTCTACGCGCGCAAATGTGCGTTTTCAGCCTAGCTTTGGGGGAACAGCGAGAGAGGCAACAAGCAACCCATTCTAATTACTTTATCAGACACATGAAATAGAAAGCCAGGAGCAATGTAGAAATTCGCGGTGCCAAGAGCTTGAAGGACGCTAGTCAATGCGTGTCTGTCTGGGGGCCTGGTGCTTTTTGCCTTGGCAGCGGGTCCGGTGGAACAAAAAGTGGCAAAGCTAACGCTCAAAAAGGTCTTTCTGAAGCTGATTAGCCCAATTGTGGCGTGTTTTACGCTCCCGCTGACAGATTGCACCAAAATGTCCATTTTCATGCCAGGCCATCCGCCAGGACATCTCGGCCAAAAACCTCATGGTCGAGGCTTGGTCCGAAGGCACCGCAACTCATCCTTGCCTCGCAACAGCAAAGGCCAGATCACAGCGGGCACTCCCGGATCTCAACAATAAGCGCCGGATCGCGATAGGCGCCCCCGCACCTCAACAGCACAAGCGCAACCGCAAACACAGCCGCAGACACAACCACAAGCGCAGCCACAAACACTACCACAAACGCAACGGCAAACAAAGCCACAAACCCAAACATAGCCGCGCACACACAGCCACAAACACAACCACAAACGTAACCACGAACACAAACGCAACCACAGACACAACCACAAACACAGACACAGCCACAATCACAACCACACGGCCATAAAGACAACCACTGCATCCAGAACAGCAAGAGCGGCAGGCAATGAAGGAACAATCAAAAATAGACGAAGTGAAAAGAAGGAAAGTACTGACACGTCTAAAGGGTCAAAAGGAATGAAGCAAAGACACTTTGAAAATCATAGAATCGTGAAAGGGCCTCCACCCTAGTAACTAGTAGCGATGACCTCCAACCTAATAACGTTCTTGTCTCAACTTTGAAAAGGGCGGAGTGCTTGTTCTACAGTTTGAACTGCCGATGCCTGAGGGCTACGTGGCTGCAGAGCTTGCGCGTGTTGCCAAGATCTCTGTCTCCCTGGCCTCTGAAAAGAAGGCAGCAGAAACATGTTCGTTGTTTTTCTGGACCTTTTTCCTTGTTAAACACAATTTCTGTAAAAGGTAACGTTCGTTTGCCTCAGCCTTTCGTGGAGAAAACATATCCCATTGGTTCAGAAGCAGTTCCCTGCGGAAAGAATCTGATTCAATCCATTGCGAGGCCGAATTAGAGGAAAAACTGAAGATTTTGGGCATCTTCCACGAGGCAAACACCAAGGAGGAACTTTGAGGCGAGTTTTCTTTCATTTGAAATATTTTGGATCACTATCATGCTTGAGATTTTGAAATTCACCGAAGCAATAAGGGGAATTCATTGTCCAATGTGGTTCACTCGTTTACCCATTTTGGAATGGTTGGTTAGGATTTTGTCGGAACATATTCTTTGTAATTGTAAGAATTGGCAGAGGCCTCCAACCTAATAGCGATTGCCTATTGACCAGTTCAGGGGTTCCCTGTCAGTCTATTTTAGCCTATGTTTGATGTTCAGCTGCGAGTTCTTTGGGTGCTGCGACCCGTAAATATGAGGTACTGTCGACATTTGCCAATATTGATTTTCAACATGGGTTCCATTTGTTTGTTGATATAAAGGCAAGTTCAAACCATTATCAACATTCGAGCAGCCGGTCGGTCCTTCCCTTGGCATATTATTGGTCATTGTCAATCATCAACATCATCAACCAGTCATGATGAAGTATTGTCTACTTCCTAGTTGTGACATAGCCTTTGAAATAGAGTTTTTGTGGCTAAAGGCCAACAACCACCGTTTTCGTTCGTCATCTAACCAGTATATGTCACCCCATTCAGTAAGTATTCTTGGTTTATAGCCATGACACTGCTGATGCAGAAAATCCTGCACCTGGTGGTAAGTAAACACCAGATTTAGTTGTAGGGTTGAATATATTTAATATCCCGACATCAACAGTATCGGGGTAGTTTGGGATATCCCAACGATCATAGTACAACTGAGCAAACATGTGTGAATGTCCCAAGAGTTGGGAACCTCAAAATGACGTTCTTAGCGGGACAATGATTGATGGGGTCCTAGTAATAAGCCCAAAAATAGTGTTTTCCACTTGACTTGGGCTTAGTGTTGGAGGCTTCTTGTAAGCTTCAGCCGATTTGGATTCATGATATCCGCTGCTAGGACGTTTGAGTGACCAATAGCGATGGCCTCCAACCTAGTCTTTTAGAATACCAAAAACGGCAACCCATGAGTTCACCCGTAGAAACAATAGAAACAACCTGATGTAACATGTAATAGCGATGGCCTCCATCCTAAGAACGATGGCCGTTCAGTTCCATTCATGTTCACAGCTGTGTCTCGGAGTCGCTCTCTCGCTCGAGCCAGATTCAGACGGTGGAGGCGAGGTTGGTGGGGACTCGTTGCGACCACGCGAAGGGAGGTTTTGAACTAGTTCTTTTTGAGGTTGGAGGCCATCGCTGGTACTAAAACCGTGGGACAAACCAAAGATATTGGGGACCATAAAAGCTAAGTTTAAGAAGATAGGGAAAATCTCCGGTTTTCTTGGGGGTTGGCAACCGTGACGCTGTGGCTTCAACATGCAAAGTGCACCCCATCAGCACTCTGTCAACGACGTTGAGAAGTGTGATGTTGATGCGAAGCGAACATAGCGAACATTGTTCCTAATAGCGAACCTTGTTACTACTAGTAAGGCACTTGTTACTAGAAGCGATGCACTTGTTACTAGTAGCTTCTTGTTAAGATAGATCCCGGGATTTGGTCAGTGGAGTATTCTGTCCTTTTTCCTTTGGGTGGTTTTCTTAGTCTTTTCTTTGGACCTTGTTTTCATGTCATGTTGATTTTTGGCTTTCGTTAGACCTCTCGCTTTTGGTTTGGACAAGTACTTGCAAATTTTCTTGAGGAAGCCATGAGAGATTCGGCGAATTGGCAACCAGCATGTTGGCGAACTGGCCCAGTCTGTTTCGCCTTTGCTTCGACTCGACGAGTCTCGACTTGTCGACATCGGAATTGGTTGGAACTTGTCGGCTGGGCTTCGTGAATGGCATGGAGACTAGTAGCGTTCTTGTTCCTAGTAGCGATGCCCTTTGTGATGGCATGGAGAATTGAATCCAGAAGCTTTTGATGAAGGAATAAAGCATGTCAACATTGCATATTGAAACAGTCAGGCCACTTGAATTGCTGACGACACTTTTGCTTGCAAAGCATGTAGAAGCACTACGGAATGCATACCTTGCTGAAAAGACCTGTTGGTTTCTAAATGCAAACGGTCTCAGAACGTTTCTCAAACCGGATGGAATCCTATGGATTGAATGCCTTCTTTGTAGAAACCCTACTCTCCATGTGAGGCCTTTCAGTGAGACGAGGCCGAGTACTCAGCGTTGCCTGAAGAAAGGAACAACGAAGAGAGAATGGCTTGAGGATCCTACTAGCAATGGCCTCCAACCTAATAGCACAAAAAGATAATTGTTTAAAGGTCAAACAAAAGGGACAGTGTAGATCGATGTATTCTTGCAAGGCATTCCAGTGTGAAGTTTTCTGCAAAGTCAGAACAAGAGTGACAGTTGAGCTCTTCGCTACTGCATACTTTCGGGCTGCAATCCACTAGTGGGCATGATTTCGGGTGTTGCCTGACCACAGATGAGCACAATTGTTTGAAAAAGTCAAAGTCACCAAGAACGATGCATGCATGCACAAAAAAATACACCGCGCAAGTAGAAGCATTTGCAAGGGCGGTGTCGAAGTGCCTTTAGCTTGCTTCCTCCCGACGACTTCTACTACTCCTACTGCTGCTGCTGCTGCTTTCAAGGGTTCTACGTTTGGAATGCATTGAACCAATGAAAGCTCCAACCTAGTAGCGATGGCCTCCTCAATAAAGGCTCCACACGTTTTTGCGGAAACTGAGGGCGTCAAGCTCCAAGGGAGATCCACCTGGAGACGGAGAGTGCCGAGAGGTCAGTCAGTTCGATCGGTTTGGTCCATTGGATCCCAAACCGAGAGACACATCCGACAGCCAGCACTTCCCAAAAAGTGGGCGAGCGGTAGCGAGTGAAGGGTCACCAACCTAGTAGCGTCCGATCGCTCCTAGTATTAAGGCCAGGAGCCCCGAACGTAGCGTCCTTGCTCCTAGTAGCGATGCCAGGAGCCCCTAGTAGCGAACATTGCTACTACTTGCTGATTTTAGAAACTGCCGGGTCTCGGAAATTGAGTGACAGAAGTGTTTGGACGTTTCACAGCTTGGAGAAGGAGTGAATTGGGAGGGCACCGTCGTTCATTCTTCAGAGCGTGGGTCGAAGGTCAGATTGATCATTTGCGACGCCAATGTTCCCTTTCTTTTGGTGAATCCAAAAAGCATCACGCAGGAGTAATCCCACAAGTAAACACTAGGTTGGAGGCCATCGCTATTACATCGTTGGGAAGAAACGGATCTACGCAAAAGAAATGGGAGTTCTCGCTTGTACCAAGAGGGTGGTGATTGAGTCTCCTGATGTCCATTGCCTCGCTGAACACGGGTGCTCTTTGAGAGAAAACAACATAACCAAAACAAACCATACAGTTGCAAACATCATTATATAAATGTGTTTGCAAAGCTTACGGAACATGGTTTTTTTTTTCAGTTTTGCATTCTCCCCAAGACCTCATGCGAGGAAAAGAACAAATCTCAATGGTGCGCTACTAGAGGAACAAGAAGCTACTAGGGTCTCCTGGCATCGCTACTAGGAGCAAGGACGCTACTACGGGGCTCCTGGCATCGCTAGGAGCATTCTTACTACTAGTAACAATCCTCAAAGACGCCAATGCATCAAGATCAGTCCAAAGGGCTTCATGGCCTCGAACCTAGTAGCAAAAGGAAGCTAATAGGAATGGCCTCCAACCTAATAGCTTCTTGCTATTAGTAGTAATGGCCTCCACCCTAATAGCGGAATTGCTGGTTGTCAGCCATGGAATTACCTGCAATGGATGAAGATGAGGCGCACTATTCAATACCTGCTGGCAAGCATGCGCGAGAGAGAAGGAACAAGTGTCGGAGGTGAAACAGTTTTGTAGTGTTTGTTGAAAGCAAACGGGGCAAGGAAGGTCATGCTGGAAGAAGACCGTTTGAAATTTGTTTGTGCTTGCTAGTAGGTTGAATGGCAAGGATTAGTGTAGAGAAACCAAAAGGAAGAATGAAAGGAAAGCCGCATGAACAAAAAGATTTTTGAAAGATGTGACTTGAAACATGTTCGGATAGCATTTACCCCCAGATGAGGGTTATTATTCTTCGCGACACTTTAGGAGCTAGCTCTTGGCCCTTGCTAGGCATGATATGTTTCCTGGACTTAATTCACCTTTATTGTCTTGAGTTCTTTTCTGTGTCTTGTTGACATCTATACCTAACAAGCCTTGAGTTAATTTTGCTTTTACAGGTTCTTTTCGTTCTGTTCTAGTAATTACATACGAGGATGCAACAAAGTCTTGGTTCCAGAGAGTGTTCCTGCTCCCCATGAAGAAGAACGCGTTTGAAAGCGAATGTGTCTTTTGGAGGCGAACCAATGAAGAATGAGAGTGTTTCGGTGGGAGAAGCGCTCCCAGCCGTGGAGGCGAGAGATGATGTCCGACCTACCAACCGAAGTAAGAGCAATGGCCTCCAACCTAATAGCTTCTAGCTACTAATAGCTTCTTGTTACTAGTAAGGCACTCGTTACTAGAAGCGATGCACTTGTTACTAGTAGCTTCTTGTTCCTCGAACCTTGCATCCTCTGACATCCTTGCAGGGTTTCGGCAAACTAGACATTTTGCCCTCCAGATTAGTGCAAGGCCACCCAAGAGAGCTCATGGGGCGATGCAGAGGTGGCTCCAAAATGCAAATGACAGTTCAAAGTGGAGTGCTCGTTGTTCTTTTTTTGATTTTTCCAATCGTAATCATTAGCTGCAGTCTTGCATTACAATTGTGCTATTGTAGTTATTGCACACAACACAACTCTTGGAACGCTTACAAACCCTTACAGCCAGTTTAAGTGGTCCTTGGAGGCCACCAGGTCGGCTCCAGCAACAGCTGCAGGATGCTGTGACGCAGGAGAATCTCATGGGTTCGTGGGCGCATGAAACACACTCAACTAGGAGCAAGGGCGCTACTAGGGGCTCCTGGCCTTACTGCTAGGAGCAAGGGCATTGCTACTAGTAACAAAGGGCATTACTACATTACCACTAGTAGCATTCTTACTACTAGTAACAAGAAGCTACTAATAGCAATGGCCTCCAACCTACTAGTGATGGCCTCCAACCTACAGCGATTGTGTTGCATGAAAGTACATTGCCCATACAGAAACCTGCGCGCGATGTCAGAAGTTCTTGGAAACTGGCCTCATAAGCATATCTCAATTGAAGCAAGATGGAGCACCTAGGAGCAAAGGGCATTGCTACTAGGAGCAAGGACGCTACTAAGAAGCTACTAGGAGCAAGAACGCTGTTAGTAACTCCTGGCCTTACTACTAGTAACAAGAAGCTACTAGGAACAAGGGCATCGCTACTAGGAGCAAGAACGCTACTAGTAAGTCCTGGCCTTACTACTAGTAACAAGAAGCTACTAGGAGCAAAGGGCATCGCTACTAGGAGCAAGAACGCTAGTAGTAAGTCCTGGCCTTACTACTAGGAACAAGAAGCTACTAGGAGCAAAGGGCATCGCTACTAGGAGCAAGAACGCTAGTAGTAAGTCCTGGCCTTACTACTAGGAACAAGAAGCTACTAGGAACAAGGGCATCGCTACTAGTAGCAAAAGGTGTTGGATTCTCGAAGGAGCTTCCAGTGCGACAGTTGCAGCAGCTACTTTCGCGCTGTGCCAGCGCCAGGGAATATCCAAGCAGAGAAACCAGTGAGGCACAACACTCGTGGAAGCAATCGTAGAACAAGTCGCGAACGCTTGAAGGCGGTCAAAGACATTGTTAGGTAGCTCTATTGAAGGTTGATCTTGAACCATGGTTCATTATGGTTTTTGATCTGTGTCAGACATTCAAGCGTCAGACGACTGTGATTTGTTTATTTTTGTTGTCAAAGCACAAGGGTCTCTATTTTCAAGAGTCTACTGGAAATGTTGTACCGCTGTGCTTTTACGATCTGCGCTTGGGCAAGAGCTTGGGCAAGAATCAAACTGAAAACTGCCATTTGGAGCCCGTGTTTCTCGAGAATCTTTCCAATCGGAAGGGTTTTGATTGCCCGTCATGGCCGTCAGGGCATGGCTTCCTTGTTGGTTTGGGAAGATTTCAAGGCCCAAACGTGACGAGAATTTGAGAGTGAATCCCACACAAAACCAGATGCATAGGTCAATTGGAGCAGTATGGATTAGTTGTGGAGATAGAGATAGCAGACACTTCGCAATCGGCTGTGGTTTGATTCACCAGACGCTGCTTGGGCTCGCTCATGCAGTGATGCTCCTGCAACGAGGAGCCACGAGGACCACATCAAAACCGGTCAACTGGAGCGAAGACAGCGAAGCGAACATAGCGAACATTGTTCCTAATA